GGATATGACACCATGGGGGTTTTAACTGCTCAAATCACAATGCTTCTAAGATTGCTCTGGCTCAGACTTGTGGGAGTTCTGGTCTTTCTCCTGGGTTTTCCCTCCTCAAAGAGCTTCTGGGGAATTCTTGAGGGATGGGGCCATGTGCCACACATCTGTTGTGGTGGCCTCCTGAATCTTGGTCTGGGTCCTATGCTCTGAGCTGCCATTTCTGCCCGCCCTTCTTGCATCCCTGAACCAATTCCCTCCTAACACATTTAAGTTCTGCCAATGCAACTAAGTCCCCCCCGCCCCAGGAGGTTTCTTCCCAGCACCCAGTGAGGGAGGCAGGGCCTCTGTCCCTGTAGCTCTCACGAGGCAGGGCCCAGATCACCTCTCGCTACTAAGGAGTCCCCAGCTCCACGCCAGCGGGCTCTTCCCTTCTGCACCCTATAGTCCTTCCTGCCCATGGATGTGAGACAAACTGGACATCCATTTCCTTCTGTGGAAACCCCCCACATGGTCCATGAACACACAATCACTGTGTTTATTCAATGCTGGTGACATGGAGAATCCAAACTCTCTTTAGAGAAAATAATTTCCCTTCCCTTTCAAGACACTGTCAAGGTAAAGATGGAGCTCATTTGCACAACTAAACAGACCCTTTACCTCTTGGTCTGTGGAACCAGCGGCTGGTTTCGTGGTAGCTCACGGTCTCCCCTTACCCAGAACACTGTGCGGGTCCCGCCTTCCTGCCAGTGACGGGCCCACTGGGTGAATTTCCTCAAACAAAGGACATCTTCAAAACAAGGTAATCAGCATCTTTTCATCTAGAAACTGAAACTGCCAACTAGCCTCAAACACAGTTTCCTTGTTAAAATTGAAAAGCAAATCACGTCCTTTGTTATGGGGTACCCCACTATTCCCTAGGGCGGTGTGAATGTGCCAACAGGTGCGGACCCTCTATTTCAGGGGTTACGCACTCACAGCTGGGCCCCATCGGGCTCACAGGCATGTTTTCTTTGGCTCATCACAGATACTCTCCCTTACAGTTTTGCACTGACTGCCAACATTTCACCAAGACATCGTAAATAAAAAAATCTAGATTTCTAGCTTCCTTTGAGAAAGCCTGAAGATCAGGTATCACAAGGTGTGCCTCCCCACAGCAAAGTCCATGGGCTGGTTCCCCCTTCAGTTGGGGGATCTGCTCCCCGGCACCCCCATGCTCTCTCTTGTCCCTCTGTGTCAACCACTCTCCATCCCTGGTCTTGCATCGCTTTCTTGCACCTGCTCACTTCTTGTGTTTGCTTTGCTTGCTAAGGCCTCTGTGGGCTTTTACTTTGCAAACCTTGTCCTAGTGCTTCGAATGCATGCAGCCAAGCCATCTGACAGGAGGGAGGTAGTCATTTTCCTGAGCAGCTTGGGAGCCCTGTATCTGGATGTGATTTCGGTTTGATCTAATGGGCAATGATTGAGTGATTGCTGTGTGTAAAGGCTAGAAGCAGCAGGGCCAGTGGGAAATCAAGCTGTTGAGAGAGTTATCGGTACACCTTGACACCTGGTAGCCTGAGCCTGGGTGTGTGAGAATTTGCCAAGGGAGGGCAAACAGTGCCCAGTGTTGCTTCAATAAAGGTCAGTTAAGATAAGAATAAGCGTGCCCTGTGGCTTCCTGTCAGGGAGATAGCAGGTTGAGGGGGATGATGGGAGAGAAAGCCAGGTGGCTGAACACTGAGAGGTGAGCGGATGGTGGGGATGCAGAGACAGGGAGAGTGGGTCACAATTCGGAAAGACTGAATAAGGCCCTGGGACACACCTAGATTTGTAAAATTGTGTTGAGCAGCACAAAGGTGACATTTCCACACAGAGGATGGGCTTTCATGTAGACAGGGCTGAGTTTTTGATCCAAAAAGTCACAAACCTTCCTGAGTTTCACTTTTTATTTGTAAAAACGAGAGGACAAAAACCCATCTCAGAGGGTCACCGTGAACATGAAACGAGCTGAAATATGTAAAATGTTGGGCACACTACCTAGTAAACATGGGTGATCAGGAAAGGTGGCATGTAATTAGGCTATGTTATTTGGGTAGTATTATTGAGAAATTGGTAAATTCCTGGGGCATAAATGCTTGCCTTCATAGCTTGTCACTTGGTGAGGAGTTGCTGGGGGGACAGGGTACACGTATGGCTCACATATAGGACCTTGTGCTGACTCAGGTATAGAACCACCGTGACACAGGTCTCTAGAAAACCAAACTCAGGGAGGCTGATGCATAAGGTGTTTGCACTCGTTGTGGTGCCTGGCACATAGTGGGCAGTCAGAAAGTATTGGCCAATGCATTTATGAATGAAGAGCGCTCACTGAGAATGTGAAAAGTGAACATCCATAACCATCTGTGGACGGGTGCTCTTAGCCAACCCTCTTAGTGCTGAAAGCAACAGAAACCCATTCAAACCAGCCTAACCCAGAAAACTAAAATAAATTTGGAAAGTTTACAAATGGAGGCGAAATGTGTTGGCTCAGAGACTGACAAGTCCAGATATCTGCTTTAGGCATGGTTGGATCCAGGAACAAAGAGGTGTATGGAGTGGGCTTCTCTCCTCTTCCTCCCTGTGTTGGCTTTGCACCCAGGCAGGTGTTCTCCACATGGTGGTCCTGGCAGCCCCATCCGGGGTTCCACCCTCTAGACATCCAACAATTCATCTAGAAGAGAGGGAGCCTCCCTTTCTAAACAGTGCTAACTTGAGTCTAACTGAACGCTGAGCCACCCAGCCAGAGTCATGAGATCATCCTTGTCCAATCAGCCCTGCTCAGGGCCTATGAGTAGGGGAGGGACAATTTCCCAAATGAAAACTGGGGTGCTTTCCCCCACAGAAAGGAGACTAATTGGTCCAGGCAGGTGCAGGGCACTACTGTCCACCGGAAGGAGCAGAGTCAGGGGACTAGGCAATGGGTGACTAGGTAAGGGAGAGGGAGAAGCATGCTACCAGGACGACACGCAGAAATGGCTAACCAGAGCTGAGTTGTCAGGACCGAGGCCACTGAGGAGTTCCAGAGGCTGTGATCTGTACTGGCATGTCTGGCCAAGTGGGCAGGCAGTAGACTGATTGTAAAAATGGCCCTGATTCTCCACCCATCCCTGAATCCACGCCCCCTGCCATGTGACTTGGCATCACCTCTCATCAAGAGTGGAACCTATTAGCCCTCCCCTGGAACCTGGGCTGGCCCTGTCACTTGCCAGGAGACTGTGGTGGAATGGTGGTATGCCAGCTCTGCGGTCTGAGCTTAGACATCAAGGGGGCTTCTGTGATTTTCCTTCTGTGACTTTGGTTCTCTTGGACCCCTGCCTCCACCATGGGAACCATCCTGGCTATTTGGCTGGTGGATGAGAGGCCACATGAAGCTGTCCCATCTGTCCCAGCCAAGGCCCCAGATGTGAGAGAGAGACCTGGGAAAGAGGGTGGGGAAGGGCGGAGGGAGAGGAAGACAGAATCTTAAGCAGGCTCCACACCCAGCATGGAGCCTGACAGGGGATTCGATCTCATGACCTTGAGATCATGACCTGAGCTGAAATCAAGAGTCAGATGCTTAACCAGACTGAGCCACCCAGGCGCCCCAGGTTTATAGGGTGGCTGTGAATGAGGAACAAGGAAAGAACATATATGGCCTCAAAGAGCAGTTGTGGGAGACTGGCAAGAACTGAACATGTCCCAAATACTGTCCAAAAGCAACATTAGCCATTTGACTGTAGGGAGAGAAGAAGAATCCAAGAGACAAGTTCAAAGCCCAGTGCAGACTTTTCTGGAAGAAAGTTAAGGAAAGAGGCAATGGGAATCTACTGATGCCGGAAACAGCCAGCGGGAGCATGGGAAGGATGGAGGAAATTAACACATCGGCCCTGTCCACAGCAGCCCTGCTCCCTGTCTCCTCCAGCCCCTGACCTCACCAGGGCCTCCAGACACACATGTGAAAGATCCCAACTATGTCCCACTGTGTCATCCAGCCCGATGGCTGCTCTGTGCAGGGGACCCATTCCAGGGAACATCACCCCGACCCAGCCAATCAGCCCGTGAGTCCTGCTGACCCAGCACATGGACATCTTTCTGTTCTCTCTGCCCCTACCTTGACCACACCATCCCACTTTCAGGCTCCCCAAACTGAACTAAAACTTGTCTGCTGGATAAAGCCCCCAATTCTCCAGTCTGACATGGCGTGTCTCCCTAATCCTCGCCTCCTCCGGATCCCTGCCCAGCATCTGTCCTGCCTGTCCTGCTTCTGGGCCACACCTGGCTGCAATTTCTTCCAGCTTCCAAGACCCAGACTAGGTGCCCGGGTCCCCAGATCCCTGTACCCAGGGATGTCCTTTCTTCTGCTTTCTTCTGAGCTGCCCCAGGAGGCTGGGGCTGGGAAAGGGACCTCAAGGCCAATTGTGCCCACTGGCCGGGCATGTTCAAGGGCATCTGTCACCTTCTCCAGGCTCTAGAGTGAATGTTCTGCAAGGGCATACCTCCAGTCCACTGGGAGCAGGCCCCAAAAGGAGATTCCGATGTCCTCGTTTGGGGCAGAGTATGCTCTGGCCAAGCTTGGAGGGGCAGACAGCAGACGCTGCCCCAGGGTGGGGGCCACCCCACAGTCCATTTGCGGGTTGCAGCCCTGTCACCCCTCCCTGGGACCAGCCAGAGTCCTGAGGGTGTGCACAGCCAGCACCTGCTCCAAGGCCCAGAGCAAGGCGGGGCAAAGCCAGGCCTTCCAGGGTGAGCACACCTGTGGGCAGCCAAGGTTCACACTTCTTGGGGGAGTTGGCACCTCCTCTCTGCCTCAAGCCCCCAGTGCTCCATTGGAGCCAGAGTCAGGGCCAAGGCCCACAGAGGGGCAGCCGGCGGACCCTGCACCTTCCCGGTGCCCAGAGCCTGACGGCTGAGGTAGCTGGAGCCACGGGGAGGCTGGGCCCTGTCTCCCACCAGGCCGCTCTGGGCTGCTCCAGGCCACTGGGATGGGCCTCAGGTAGGACAGGCTCTGCAGGTCACCAGGCCAGGGGTGAAACCATCCCCGAGCTGCGTGGGCCATCCCCAGCCTCCAGGTCACTGAGTGCTCGCTGGGGAGGAAGGGACACGTGGGGAGGGTCTGGTCAGTGGTCCCAGGAGTCCCTGACCCCATATTGCCTCATCTCCTCCCACCCGCCCCTCACCACCGCCCCAGAGAGCCAGGGAAGAGACCTGTCGGCCCCATGTGGGTCATGTCACACTTGCTGGAGGTCGCTTCCCGATCTGGGCTTCTTGGAGGCCCCGTATTTGACCTCTGGAGGGACTTCTCAGGGGCCCCTTGGGCCTCCCAACATGGCTCACCTCGAACTTGCTCATGAACTCTGCGAAGATGCCAAAGAAGGCCTCAGAGGTGGTGGCTTTGGAGTCCTCGCCGAAGAAGGCCAGCGCCCTGCCCAGCTCCTCCATGGCCTCGCGCTGCAGCCCATCCAGGGCCCGCAACACCGGCTGGGCCGTCTCTAGGAAGGACTGAGTGGCCTCCGTTAAGGAAACCGCTAGGCGCCCTCAGGTTCTCTAGCTGCCCAGCTCCCATCTGCCCCGTGCCCAGTGCTTGGCCGGGAACCAGGCCGTGTCCAGGGGCTCCAGTGCCTTGCATGCGGCCCTCTCAGCCACTCCCGAAGCCCGCCACACCCAGTGCAGCCCCAAGGCCATCCACTTGCCTTCTCTGTGGGGCAGTCCTCTCCCCACCCTGGACTCTTTTCAGATGCCATGACCCCCTCCTCCTCCAACAGCCACTTATAGTAGCCCCCTGGCACTCTCTCGGCTTTGAGCTCCCCCCTTTTTTTTTCCTGTAGCATTTGTCCCTAACTGTGCTCAGTGGCAACATGTCCCTCTCCTGACTGCCTCTGGGTGGCCAAGACCTGTATCTTGTGAACCAAACCTGGGCTCTACTGCCCACGAGGACAGATGGGGCAAGGCAGCAGGTTTTGGACAGTCAAGAAAGCTCCTCTTGAGTAACAGAGACTTGGTGTAAGTGCTTAGGTTCTAAATCACTAGGACAGACGCGCTCCCAGGACACATAGCAGCCTTGCTGGGACCCAGGGTCTGCAGTGGCTGCTGGAGCGACAGCCAGCTCTCCCTGGCTTCCCCAGGGTCCACCCTGGTGCGGGAACAGGCTGCTCACTGGATACCGTCATGACCACAGCAAACTTGTCCTCACTGGAGGAGCACATGCTCTGGCAAGCAGCCTGTATCTCACTGATGGTGCCATGGAGGTCAGCCAGATCACTGGTCAGGGCCCGTTGGTTCACTGCAGGGAAGGGAACAGAACCTCATGAGCGCTGACCTCCTAGCCCTTCCTCGCCCACTGCCCGACCGCTCGGCCTACCTTTGGCAGCCAGGGGCACAGTGGGCAGGTCCTGAGCAAAGCCCAGGAGTTCTGGAAAGTGCTGGCTCAGTGATTTGGCAAGGATGTGCAGGAAGGTGGACTTCCCGTCCACAGTCTTGGTGGAGTTCAGCTGCAAGTGATGCCCAACACACATCCTCCTCAAGGACCCCATCGGATTCCTGGTCGTGTGGGTCTGGGTACTCTTGGCCCCACATCTCCTGGACTGTGGCACTAATTCCTGGCCCTTGACACTCATCAACTCCAAAGTTTATATTACTCCTCACTGTGAAGCTCTGCTGGGATGCCCACAGGCCTCCCCAAGGTGTTCGGAGGTTCCCTGGCCCAGATCTTTGAAATGCTGCCCCCCACCCCCACCCAGGAACCAGGTCCATTGCCAACAGCTAGAGGAGGCCACCAGGTGTCCTGTCCCTGGGAACATGCCCTTGTTGGCAGATATAGTCCAAGATTTTTTAACTTCTAAGTGGCGGGGGCACCACTCACATATCTTCCCTCTTGTGGCATCTGGAACCATATGTGGCCCTTCTGTGCCTCAGACATCCTAAAACATTCATATCTACAAATGGAGTGTTTCTTCCTCCTTTTTAAAACAACTAACGGTACCCTGGGGAAAGGTCCCAGAAGCAGTGGGAAGGCTGGATATTCGAGCTGTCCTTGTTCAGATCCTAGGTTTTTTTTGGTGGGGGGGGGGCGGGTAGGACACCTTGGCAGTGGTGGTGGTATTAAGGGGCAGAACCTACCAGGCGGGATTCCCTCCTTCTTCCTGGAGTCTCCCCTCCTTGCCCCCCATACTCCCTTTTTCCAGATCCTGAGGCTTGGCTTGGAAAAGCCTCCCACCCACAACCTTTACTGCAGTTACATCCTGGCCTGCCCCAGCCAAATTTTCCTCCTGGGGAGGGGCCCTCTAGGGTCCTGATGTTCTCTCCTTTCCTCTGCCACAACTTGGGGTGGGCCTGCCTTCCCCAGCCGTGACAGTAGGACAATCTCATGGATTACTGCCAACTGGTCCCCTCACCTCTGTCAGGAAGTTGATCTTGAAGCCGGTGGTCTTGTTGGTTTTGGGCTGTCCGTCATTGAGATAGTTGCCCATGGCCAACACAAACTGTGGAAGGGAAGATGGGCAGGCTCTGCCCAGGTCCTCACCCCACCGCCCTGGAACCACTATCAGGATGGGTCTCCAGACTGGGAGCCCCAGGGGGCAGACAGTTAGGTGGGGTGGCCGGAGAGGGGGTGCGGCCTGACCTCCAAGATCTTGGCGAGCTTCCGGCTGTTCCTGAGCTCAAGGGAGGCCTGGCGCAAGCACTCCAGGCTGCCCCGGATCTCCTCCGTCTTCTCTTGCAGGGTGGCTTGGAAGTGCAGGCTTCGCAAGCGGGTTTTGTATTCGGGAACCGAGAGCATCTGTCACGAGGCAAGGCCAGGACTCACCCGCCCCACCAGGACACTCACCGCCCCACCGCAGCCTGGGGTGGGGGTCAGCTGGCTGCCCGGCATTCCCTCAAGAAAAATAAGCACAACCCCAATATAAGCACAAAAAAAGAAGCACAATCCCATCTACCTTGGGCCCCAGGTGGGAAGGAACTGGCCGTTAAAGGTGTAACAAGGGGACTCAGAGGCGCCAGCGCGGTGGCGGTAGGGGAGCGGGACTCACGCAGCCCCGGTGACCAGAAAGCCCTGACTGGAGGCGGCCGAGGCCGCCGGGCAGCACCCCCTGCCCCCCCGGCGGCCGTCGCGGCCGCAGCACCTGCAGGACGAATTGGTCGGGCTCGCTGAGGCGGCCGGGCGCCTCGCGGAAGGCCTGGTAGCGCTGCTCCTCGTCGGCGTCGGGCGCGAAGAGCAGCAGCTGCGCCAGGTGCGCGGGCTCCAGGCGCCGGGGCTCCATGCTCATGAGCACCTGCCGCAGCTCCGCCGGGCTCAGCTTCAGGTGAGCCAGCAGGATGGCTGCGGGCGGGGCCGCGAAGGGTGAGGCGGGGCGGGGCCAGGAGGACCGGGGGCGGGGCCCAGAAGTTCTCCAGGGATGACTGGGAGGAGCCTGGGAGGGGCAAGGAACCTGGGCGGGGCAGGAGCCTGCCCAGAGATGGAGAGGGTCCTTCCTCCGGTCGAATGAAGGTGAGGACAAGGTTCTCGAAGGGACAGACCTAGATACGGGTGGGGCTTGTGGGGGTGGAGCCGGAAACGAGGGAGGAGACCGCGAGAGGGAGAGCTAGGGACGGCTGGAGGCGTGGCCAGGACTCGGGAGCCGCTCACACGTGGGGGCGGGGGCAACGAGGGGGCGGGGCCAGTGAGGGCGGAGCCCAGACCGACACCAGCACCCAGGTGGGATCTAGAACCCGAGAAAGGGCCTTCACCCAGTCGGCATCGTCGGGGGCCCGCGGGGCCCAATCCACACACGTGGATTCAAAGCTCTGCGGCCCAGAGAGAGGGCCACCTCCTGTCCCCCACAACCCCTGGGACTCCTCAACCCCTCACAGGTGTTGTAGGCCTTCTTGTGAGACAGGATCTCCACCACCTCTTTTTTCCTGAAGGGCTCAGGCCCAGGCATTGGCTCTAGAACGGAATATGGTTTAATGAGAGGAGAACAGGCTGGTGGGAGGGCCCAGGGGGGTGTGGCCACACCCAGTAACCCAGACACCCGCTGACGTGGCCTTTAACGAATCAGCTCCAGGTGTCCCCAGTCCCCTCCTTCCTCAGTCTCCCACTCGGGACTCTCTGGCCCACACACTCAGCATGGTGTGTGCCTCTCCCCCATCCTCTTTCCCCTTGGCCCTTGGGGTTGAGCTGCCCAAGGAAGCTGAACCAACCACCTCTCCACCTTGCAGGTGCTTCCTGGATGGACAAAGGCCTTTCTCTTCCATCCTGCAACCACCTTCCACAAACAATATCCCTGCTGCCAGGAGCCCCACCCAACAGCTATAGGAAGATACCCAGAGAAGGGCAGGGGGACTTAGAGACTGGAAGGCACATCTAGTTGGCTCGATATGGATGCCTCCTGACCCCTTATTCTGACTGTGTGACTTTGAGTAAATTACCTAGCCTCTCTGTACCTCTTCATCAGGAAGTTAGGGTGATCATAGTCCCTACCTCGTAGAATGGTCACAGCATTAATTTAGAAACGGGGATGTCTGGCATTCTGTGAGCATGCGATAAATGCCAGCGACTATGACTATCTCCAGTTTCAGATGGGAGAAATGCTCTGAGAGGTTAAATAACTCGGGGACGCAGGAAGGAAATGGCAGGTAGGGCAGACCTCTGGGACTCTAAGCCCTGGGACGTAACAGAAGGCCGCAGGTGGGCTTACGCAGATGGCCTGGTGTGAGGGTTCCCCTAGGGCCCTCAGGCCACTCACTAGTAGGTTTCTGGGTGCCAAAATGGAGCTCCAAATCAAGATATTTCACCATGTCGCTCAGCTTGTCATAGTCAGAATCTTCCCCGAGCTGCAAGGTGGTAGAGTAGGGGGGAGGTTCAGGGGGAGGAGGAACACGAGCAGCTGGACTGCCATTCCCCACTGCCCCATCCTCTAAGAGCTGACCCAGGAGCGACAGAGGGAGATTCCCTCATCAGGCCCTGGGAGAACCCTGAGGCCCAGGAGACACTGCAGGAAAGGCTAAGTCACCCAAGTGATGAAGCAGCACACCGCCTGCTCGTGAGGTCAGTAACACACACCCCCGGAACACTCTCCATGCGGGAGACAGCAAGCTGAACTGCGGGGGGGGGATTGTTAAGGGACAACAAAGGGGCTGCAGCCAACCAAGGGGGCTTAAGGAGGTGGCTGAGAGGTCTGGCTCTGTCTTGAGGGTCCTTTGCCAGGGGTGAGTTCACCAGAGCTGCCCTGGGCTTCCGATGCTGGGGGAATGGCAGTAGGGAAGTGCCAGGGGCTAGACACTGGACAGGGTTTTGTCTTCAGTGCTGCGACCCAGGCCAGCCTCCCCTGTGGAGGGCACTCCCAAGCCCCAGGTCACCTACCTGACCCCAGATGGTGCCTTCCGAGTTCTCCACCTGCTCCCACCGCAGGCGCTTGACGCTCATGTGACTGGTTTCACTTCGCCGGTGGCCCAGGCCCCGGGACAGCATGGGGGGTGCACAGGGCACCGGTGGGGGCAGGGGTGGTGGGGGCGGTGGAGGGACAGGGTGGCTGAGTTGGGTGAGGGGCTTGGCCAGTGTCTGAGAAGGGCCCCGGGGACCATCAGGGGTGCGGGAGCTGGGCTTTGGGTCATGGAAGGGCAGAGGTGGTGGAGGCGGGGGGCTGAGTGGGGGTGGGGGGATGTGGTCGGAGATGGAGGAGTAGGTCAGGGAGCTGCCCTCCTCACTGCTGCTGATGCACTCACTAGCGCTGCTCCGCTCATTGGTCACAAAGCTTCCCTGGTCATCGTGGAAGCTCATCTGCCCGGGGCAGAGCAAGGTGAGGGAGGGTGGGCTAGCCTGGGGATAAGACAGGCTAGTCTAGTGGGTTAGCCTGAGGCTGTGGGTAGGATGGCCTGGGAGAAGGAATGGGGTAACCTGAGGCAAGGAATATGGGGGAGACTTGAGTGAGGGGTTTATAGCTGAGTCAAAGGGTGGGATAGCTCAGCCAGTGAGTGGGGTAGCCTGGGACAGATTCTAGGCTGGACTGGGGCAAGGAGAGGAGTAGCCTGGGGGGCGATCCCAATGGCAAGAGGTCTCTTGCAGGAGCCCTGTCCCCTTTACAGGCCCCCCATGTCACACCTGGGTCCCCGTCTCTCCACATGGGCTGGCAAGTGCTTACCTCCTCATAATCATTCTCAGGGCTCAGGAAGTCATCCACGACAGTGACCCGGGGGCCCAGCTGCTCACTCAGCACATCCAGGAAGCGGTCAGTATCCCGGCTTTGCACAGGGCGGGAGAAGGTGAAGAGCTTCCTACGGCTGGGCGGGCGGGCAGGGTCCGGGCTTGGGGGGCTGTCGGAGCGGATGGGCCCAGGGTCTGGCTGTGGGGAGGGTGCCCTGCTGCTGTCCAGGCTGGCGTAGGGGTGGGACTCAGAGCTGCTGGGGGAGGCCAGGCCCCCTGAACACAGTGGGTAGTAGCAGGGGGAGGGCAGGAGTCGCTCGCTGGGCCATGAGATGCTGGACAGGGTCCTGGGCCCTGGGGTGGGGAATCAAGTGTGAGGACCCCTCTCCAGTCAGTACCTGCATTCCAGGTGCAGGCTGAAGGGGAGGGTCCTGGGGCAGGTTGGCTCTGTGTCCCGGGGCACCTTCACTTCCCCCTCTGGACACAGCACAAGAAGACCCTAGATGACCCTGCCCACCCCCAGGCCCTTCCCTGAGGGAAATCAAAGGTAAGAGTATGTGAGGGGGAACACTACTTAGCCCCAGGACAGGCCAGACCCCCACTCATCTTGGAAGGGACCTCAAGGATTCCCCCTGGGACCAACTAAACACAACTGAAAGGGCAGAAGGGCCTTCTCCAGGCCCCAGATCAAGGATCACGAGGCCCCTCCCACACCAAACAGGCCCGTGGCTGCCAGGAACATCACCCAGGGGTCCTGCCTTCTGAACGGCAGAGAAACCATCTTCCCAGTTGTGCCATTCACGGAGCAATGCATGCACTTAACAGTTTATCCAACAGCCACAAGCTCTTTTGTGGCTCCTTTGGGGAGGATCTCCACTTTTCTAAATCTACAGTAGGGGTAAGGATCAGAGAAGGTGTGGGAAAGCCTGTGATGACCTTGACCTCAAGAAAGCTTTGCCATGGAAGGCTGCTGAGGTGCCTCACACCTCAGTCATGTGTTCATGGACCAAAGGGGAGGCTCCAAGGATGTGCCCCAGATGGGGGCAACACCCATACAGACAGCCCAGAGGCCAGAGGTCAGTGCTGCTTCCAGGAGCCAGAATTGGCTGAGCCCCTACCTGCTGGGCCTGCCGGGCTGGGCACTGGTGGGGAGGCACGGGATCTGGACGTGGTCCCCACCTTCCCTTTGAAGCTGCTGTTCAGCCGGGACTCGAGCTCTGCATAGACGGCTGACATCTTCAGGGAGAGGAGGCCAGGGTGAGTCCAGCCCACCGTCACCTCCCCCATGAGGCCCTCCTGTGGCCTCGGAGGCCAGGCCTGGGTGATCTGGGAGGCAGGGATCTGCCCCAGCCTCAGGAGCCACATGAACCCCCAGGAGGACAGGCAGTGGGGTCTCACCATCTTAGGGTTGGGGGTCTCAGGGAGGGACGTGCCATCGCCCGCCTGGCGCTCGCCTGGAATTAGAGGAAGAGGCATCTCGGGGCAGTCGCCGGGACCTGCCAGGGAATCAGGGAGGGTGGAGTCCACCATGGAGAGGTCTAGTGATCCCTCTGAGCTCTTAAGGTTTGGGTTCCAGCCCAGACCCTGTGGGCAGCCATCAAGAAAGGACCAGCCAGCCCTGGAGCCCCGGGAGGGCCATCCCTCAGCCCTCCTCAACCTGTTCTCGGGGATCTCTCATCTCACCCACCCCATTCTGCAGATGGGAAAACCGAGCACTGTTGGCTCCCTCACACCCAGTCCCGCCTTTCGGTCCAGAGCCTCACCGCAACTGAGGCTGGCCTCCAGGCCCTGGGACCGGAGGCTGCGGCGGCACATGGACGAAGCCCTCAGTGAGCTGCGCCGCTGCAGCTCAGGCACCGGCTCGGGCTCCGGCTCTAGCTCCGGCTCCAGGTCCAGCTCGGGCTCTGGCTCTGCTGGGCGACACGAACAGGAGATGGGCCCTTTGTCCTCTCAGCCAGGAGATGGGCCCTTTGTCCTCTCAGCCAGCCAAAGTGCCTCCAAACACAGGAGGTGGAGGCAGTCACTGTCTGTACCAATCGGTGGCCCCAGGCCCTGCTTGGCACGTGGGCTGAGATGGAAGATTCCAGGTCTAGGCAAATGTATGGAATAGCTTTGCCCAGTCCATACTCTGAGCCTCTTGCTAAAATCCTCGAGCCTCCCCCAGCAAACCATGGGTGTCCAGGACCAGGGACAGCAGGCAGCCGAGGGCCAGAACGCAGGTCATCTGTAGGCTGTGACGTCACTGTGTGACATAGAGCGCCTAGAACAAGTGCTGGGTTCGGCACGCTTCCAATTCCTGTGGCCTCAGTGGTGAAATGCATGGTTTTATGGGCACATGGGGCCCGTGCTAAGAGGTGCGCGGCAGCGGGAAGCGGAGGCCTCACGTGGCCCTGCAGACCTTAGTGTGCATTTGTGTGCACCAAAGCCCATCAGCCAGGTGCGACCTGACTGTGTCTTTGCTCTCCAGTTCAACAAATGGCAACCATGTGAATTTCTCGATCTGCGACATGTTTTGTGGCGTGCAGTGCACACCCACTGAGGTCACTCCCATTTTGTGGGTGTGAAGCCTGGGATTTTGGGCAGAGAGGTGGGGTGTCTAAAGTCTGAGGTAATGTGGGAGATAGATGCTGCTTGAGCATCAGGCAGGGAAGGTATGGCTGTGGGGCCAAGCGTGTGACTGGCCTGGGTGCACCTGGCATGTGTCTGCAGGCCTCGGGGCGCATCTGTCCATGGGAGAGGCCCGGGTCGTCTGTCATCTGAGAATGGGTGCCTGACCCTTCAGAGGGTGGGCTGGGCAGGGCGGGAGGCTGCTTACCTGTCATGGCCGTGTAGCCCAGGAAGCACGCGATTTTCTCCTGGCAGAGTTCCTGCTCCTCGTAAGTCAGCAGCTGGTAGATGAACTGCCAGAGAACTTGCTTGGCCGGCGTGTCCAGCACCGGGTAGATGTCCACGATGAGGGTGTCAATGTTCCTGGGGGAGGGTGCAGGAGCAAGGGGTTCATGACTCAAGTGCTCGCCATGGGGGCAGGGGGAGATGGACAAGGGGGCACTTCAAGGTGCCAGAACCCACCCGTGCAGAGACAGAGAAGTGGGGAAGTTAGGAAGGCAGGCCCTGGAGACGGGCTCCCCTCGCACCAGATTCAAATCCTGGCTCTGCCACTTACAGACCAAGTGACCTTTCTCAAGTTACGTAATTCCCCCATGCCTCAGTTTCCTCTTCAGTAAAGTGTGGGTAAAAATTGAATCTACCTCACAGAGATGCTGTACGATGAAAACACACAGAGTGTATTGGGTAACCAACTCACTCTGGCAGGGACTGGCAAATGATGGCCTGCAGCCCAAAATCTGGCCCACCTTCTGTTTTTGTAAAAAAAAAAAGAAAGAAAGAAAGAAAAAAAAAGTTTTATTGGAACAGCTACAACTGTGTGTTTACATATGTCTATGGCTGTTTTCGATCTACAACAGCAGGGTTGAATCGTTTCTATGGAGACTATCTGAGCTACAAAGCCATTTACTATGTGGTCCTTCATAGAAATAGTTTGCTGATCCTTGCATTATATGGGAAAATAAAACTGAGTCCGCACATAACACCACACATAAGGATGAACTCTAGGTGGATATAAAAACAAAGTATGAGAAATACAATTGTAAAATTAAGAGAAGACAGTATAAGGAGAATGTCTTTTGGCCTAGGGGTAGGGAAGGGGCTCTTAAAATTTTAAGAGCCAAAGTCACAAGGCCTGAAATGTATTGAATTTGATTTTACAAAAGCGAGAATATCTGTTCAAAAACCCCCAACTTGGATACATGGATATTAGATGTAACAGAAGTAATAACAAGTAACAAATGGGAGATGTTTACAGTGTTTGAAATCAACAAGGACTCGGTCTCTAAAATATACAAGGAACTCCTGCAAATCAACAACGATAAAAAGGCCAGTAAAACAAAAATGGGCAAAGGGTCTAAACAGGTAATCTATAGATAAAGAAACAAAAAAGGCTGAAAGGGATATTCAAAGATGTTTAAAACTGTCCTTTCAAAACTGCAAATAAAATAAATGTCACTTTATGCCTAAAAGACTAGCATGAGTAGAAACCTGGATGGTGCCAAATGTTGGTGAGGACATGGGGATGAGGTGCCCAGGAGCACTGCAGGTGAGAGACAGCAGTGCTCTGGGAAACAGTCTGGGACGACCTGGTCACATTAGGTAAGCAAATACCTTACTAGCCAGCAATGCTGCTCTTAGATATAAATTCCAAATGAATCGTATATAGCATCATGTGGAAATGTGTGCAATGATGTTCACCACTGCTATCAAGATGGAAGAGAGGGGTGACAAACTGGTGTCTGTCCTGGCAGGTAAGTAGATCAGACCCGGACCCATGAGCCACAGGAATTTGGCTGCAGTTATAATCAATGTATTACATGTACACAGAGCAACACGGCCAGATCTGAACACAGAGGGCTTGGTGAAAAAAACAAAACAAAACACACAAAACACCACACCCAAGAATGCACACAGGATAGCCACAAAGGCAATGTACACCAAAAATACAGCCCATGGCGGGGCGCCTGGCTGGCTCTGTTGGAAGAGCATCCGACTCTCAATCTTGGGGTTGTGAGTTTGAGCCCCATGTTGGGGATAGAGATAAATAAGTAAAACTTAAAAGAATACAGCCTACAAAACAGCAGTGCCCACACTTCAAGAACACATCAGACAAAAGGATGCCTGTTAAACTCATCAGACTGGGTGGCCATGGGAAGGGACGGACGCAGAAGAGGGAGTGGAGCTAAAAGGGAATGAAAGGTGGAAACAAGGCAAGTGTCCATCACGGATAAATGGACAGGCAACATGTGGTCTAGCCACACAATGGAATGTTATTTGGCCATGAAAAAAGGAATAAGTAGATGCTAGAACTTGGACGAACATCGAAAACATGATGTTGGGGGAAAGAAGCCAGACATAAAAGCCCACATACTGTAGGGTCCTATTTATATGAAAGCCCAGAATAGGGAAAGCCACCTAGACACTAAAGTAGATTCGTGGTTGTTCAGGGGGTGGGGTGGCGTGCGGAGGAGGGGGAAGGGACGGAAGAGGAGGGGGTGACATTGAAGAGGTGCAGGGGGTTTCTTTTTGAGTGAAAATGTTTTAAAACCGAATGTGGTGATGGGTACACGGATTTGTCCATTAAAATCCGGTGCATTGTACAGTTGAATGAGTAAATTGTAGGGTGTGTGACTTATACCTTAATAAAGCTGTTTAAACAAAAAAAGAAAAGGGCACGGATGGGTGAGGTGTTTGCACGGACCATGACAATGACCCTATGGACGAAAGAGTGCGACAGACACAGGCTGATGGTACAAAAGGAAGACACCGAACCAATCCCAACAGGCCTGGCTGGCTGGTGGCAAACACCCACAGGTGAGTCCTGTGACCTTTCCACAAATGTTTCGAAGGTCACTGCTTCACTTGACTGAGGCTGGGTCATGTGGCTGGGAGGTTTCAGAGTCAGGGTTTATGGAAGGGCCCTTTGATTGCCCACCACCCAGGGGCCCCTGGGACCAACGGCTGCTTTCTTTGGGTCTCTCCCAGGAGAAGGGGGCTCGGGAGACACAGGCAGGGAGACCCGGATGGTGAGTCTGGGCAGGATTTGGGGTCCACCCAGGGCAGCTCCCCCACCACCACCCTGGCCCAGCCACCTGTGCTGGAAGAAGCTCTCCAGGGCCCGGCAGATCCCATAGCGCTCGGGAGGCGTGAGGAGGTGCTCCAGCTGCTGGCTGAAAGTCCTCCCCTGCACCCGGATGCTGGAGGGCAGGATCTCTGCTACCCACTGCAAGGAGGTGAGCGCCGAGGATGGGTTGGGGGAATCCAAGGAATCGGAGTCTGTCGGGGCCACAGGCAGGAGAGGTGCGGGTGACCCAGCGTCCCTGGACCAGAGGCGGTTTCTCTCCCAGTGGGAGCTGGGGATGGGGACAGAGGGACAGCCCCAGGCAGGGCCCTGAGGCTGCCCCATTGGAATCTACAGCACCACCTGGGGAGGAAAGCTGCAGGTTTGGGGGAAAAGCAGAGTCCTCTGCAGACTTGTAAGTCCCACACGTAGAGGCCCTGGCAGGGGCTCTGTGGGCCACGAAGCCAAGTGGCCATGGGTGTCTCACCGCTGGCAAATGGGACGAGCCCCTCCTCCACCACCAGTGTGGGCATCGCGCCACTGCCTTGAAGCATGGACACCACCTTGTCATGGGAGCAGTTCCTGCCAAGAAGAGATGAGCCTGGGAGGGCTTGACCAGGATGAGCAAGGGCCACGGCCACCCACCAGATCTCCCTGTCCTGCCTGTAGAGGCCACTCAGCAATGCACAGCTGGGCCAGGACTGGAAGCCATTCTCCTGCTCATTTATCTCCTCTGCAGGAGACCCTCCAGACCCAGGACAACCTGGACACTTCTGGATGCACAAGGGTGGTGATCATGTCACCCCAGGCAGGATTCCCCTTCAAGGGCAAGACACTCATGGTCCATTTAATTCTGTGTCCCCTGGGCACCGGGCTGGCTCAGCCAGCAGCGCCTGTGACTCTGGATCTTGGGGTTGTAAGTCCAAGCCCCACATTGGGTGTAGAGATTACTTAAAAATAAAATCTCTAAAAACAGAAACGAAACAGCAACAAGGAACAACCCCTCTGTGTCCCTTGCATGGAGCTGGGGTATTTTCCGGTTGGAAAGATAAACTGACATTCTATCTAGTCTGAAGGGACAGAGTCAAGAGTTCCCAAAGGAAGAGGGGCAGACCCTGGGGACAAACTGGTCACAGGCAATCAGGACCATGGCCTCAGTGTCCCAAGAGCCAGGGGTTCTCAGAGGATGATTTGTCACCAAGCTTTGATGTCCCCAACAGCCTCTGACCTCATGTCCAGTCCATTGAGGAAGAGGATCCGGTCTCCTGACTTGAGGGATGCATTGTCAGCCGGGCTCCCTGGGAGCAAGAAGAGAGAGTGTGCTGGTCAGCTGGACGGGGCTGTGCTCTGTGAACCCATTTTACAGGTGCCAAATGGAACGAGTGGCAAAGGAGAGCCAAATGCAGCCCAGCAGACCCCACATTAAAACCAGCACCCCTCTGCTCTCAGCTGCTCGGAGTGGGGAATGAGCCCCTGGGTGGGGGTAGGAGAGTTTGGGGCTCAGCGTGGACCACAGGTCAGCCTTGAGCTATTGGAAAAGGGGGAAAAATAAAGAAGGTCTTGGGAGTCATATTTCTGTAGCATCCATACACCTGCTGAGAAGCCCCCTCTGTACTGTTCTCTGCCCCGCACGGAATGGTTACCATCATAGATTCTCTGTGCCTTTGTCATGGGCAGAAAATGCACCTGCCTACAGGAAGGGAGCTTCCTCCCCCAGGCTGGGAAACATGGTATATTAATCGTGCTTGTTTGTTTCTGTGTTTCCTGAGGCTTTGGCATCTCGGGTTGTTGCTGACCCTGGAAACACTGCCCTTCCGTAGCTGGCCAGTCCCTACCTGATAAATTACTGGCTTAGAAGAGAGCCTCTTGTATGCAAACCGACCAGTACAGAGCCCACACCCAGTGCCCTTCCCCAATGGGCTCTCACACCTCAGGCCACCATAGTGCCCTGCCCTAATCTTCCAGAGCCAGGCACCTGCTGACTCCCTGGGGACAGTTATGCCTCAGAGCCTGCTCCGGCTAGGCCTGTACATGCTTTCGCCTGCCTGGCCTCATCCTTCCCTTCCCCCGTGTGGTCCTGCATGGTGTGGCCACGTCCCCTCCTCTTGGGAGCTGTGGGGACAAACTGTTTTTCCATTGGCCATCACTTCCTGATCTGTTGACCTCACCATACTTGAATAATAGTAAGACCTGTGTTTTTATACTTTTTTTTTCTTTTTGCCTCTTTTATCAGATGTTCCTCTAAATTTGATTGGAAATCAAGTGGGGGAAGTGACAAATGCCTAAAGAAAAGGTAGTCTCAGATTGTGAGGGGCTCTCTCATGAGGTTCTGGGGACTGTCAGGGTGGGGGGGGGTGGAGGGGGAGGGATGCTCAGGGAAGACCTGCTGGGGAAGTGGCGTCCTTCCTCCGGGACTGAAGAGGCAGGGAGGGGAGAGGTGATGATGGTGATGGATCCAACCTGACCTGTCTGGAAGCTTGGGCCAAGCTGGGGTGGGAGGACCAGAGGGGTTGTAGCTGGGGATTCAAGATTACTGGGTCAGGAGTCAGGAGACCCAAGGTTCTGGTCCTTGCTTTGCCAGAGCCTCTAAAGGCCTCAGTTTCCCCATCTGTAAAAGCTCTCACTGAAGCGTCCTATGGCTTCCTATGACAAGGAAGCCATGAGGTTACCAGCCTGGAGGTTGGGTTGGGGAGAATAGCACCCCTGGGTCTTAAACATGGCCCCAGGCAAAGTATGCCTGGCTGCAACCCACATGGGGGTGGGGGGAGGTGGGTGGTGCTGGTGGTGGCACAGTTGGAAGAGACAAAGGGGAGAGATGATGTATTTCTAGAGGACCAGCCATGTGCCTCTTCCTTGCAACACTGTGTCAACGATTTAGTAACACCAAATCTGAGGAGAACTGTGACATGTCAGTCATCAGGATTTGGTGTCAAAATGATCTGATGGCTGGACAATGATGCAAACTCACTAAGGCACTTTCCTGGGGATCAGAAGTTGTCCAACCCACAAATCCCTGCACTACAGGTGTGAGATGAGGAAAGGTAGAAAGGACTCAGTGTCAGACAGACACAGATGGGGATGTGTCACTAGGAGCATCATTCCCAGGTGCTGGGAGGGTATGGATACAGGACAGAGAGAGCAGGTGACCCAGCCCTGTGGGGTGATAACTGGGAGGGAGAGTTCAGTTTAGCACCAGGAGACATTTCTGCACCGCAGAGACCTTCCACAATGGGATGTGCTGTCTCGGGAAGAAAGGAGTTTCTCCCCAGTCTCCCCCCACCTGCCCTGGAGAGGCAGGAAGGAAGAATTCCTGCATCAAGAAGGCTCTGCTTTCTTTAAGATGTCACCATTCCAGGAGAAAAAAGAGGCAGGCTCGGTGGGAGCAGGAGCAAGGTCCAGACTGGGGGTAGGGGACCAGATAGTAGGCAGAGGCCCTGAGGGCCTAATGGGTCTCTGAGTCTGGCCTGCCCAGAAAGGGTCAAGTTCACAGTGGGCACTCCAAACCGGGCAGGCTGACTGGGTGCAGACTGGGCAGGCGTCAGATGTGTGCAGGTTACCCCAGTGTCTGCGGCAGTGGCCCCCAGCCCTCCCCGCTGGACACAGAAAACGTCTGGATGGAGAACTTGGCTTTCTTGGCTCAAAGGTGACCCTGAACTTGGAGGGAGTTTGCCCCAACTCGGATGGTCCCTCTGGGATACTTAAAGGACATGAGCTATATGAGGTTAGAACTTGGAGGCAGAAGCGAGGGGGGTACTTAGTATGGGCCTAAGAGGGTCCTTCATCCCATCCTGGACAACTCGCCCACCCCTCACCAGGCAGGACAGACTCGATCCAGACAGGCCCGTGACCGCGCAGCGTGAAGCCGAAGCTCTTGTTGCCCTTGTAGACTCGTACTGTCCTGGGGAGAAAGAAGGGGCGGGGTGGGGGGCTGGCAGGGTGCCCTGTCCTGGGGAGAGGGAGGCTGGGGGTGGGGCGTAGGGGATAGAGAAGTCCCGTGCCCTGCTCCCCTTAATTTCTCCTGACCCCCATCCCCACGCCCAAGTGTCCCACGCCCCAATCTCGCGCCCTCTGCCCAGATCTGCATCCCAGCCCACCGACTAGGAGGCATCCGCGGCCCGTGCCCGCGCGTCCCGGGTACCTGCGCGTGCCCCCTGGGCCCGCACGGCCGCCCAGCAGAGAGGCAGCCTTGCGCGGTGGCGGCTCGTCCGGGCGGCGCGGGGCCGCGCTGGCGCGAGTGGACACCAGGAGGCGCTCCGGCCGCTCCTCGCTGCGGCTCCGGCGCAGCCCCTGCGCGCCTTGCGCCCGCCGAGCGCGGCACAACTTGCCCAGCAGACCCTGTGACACCACTTCGTCGAAGCGCGCCCGGTGCTTCTTGGGGATGAAGATCCTGCGGGCGAGGACCGCAGAGTCGGGGCGCGCCCCCAGACCGCGCCCCGATCGTGCCAAACCGCTGCCTAAAGCCTCCTTCTCGTGGGCGCCGCCCTAGACTCTCCCGCCCCTACACGGGGGTTACAGGGGAATCAGCAGCCGGCACCCCAGTCTCCCTCTCGGTGCTGGGACTTGCGCCCCAACCAGCCTGGGCCACACCAGGACCTCGCGCCCAGCTCTCCACCTCGGGAAAGTCACAATGGGACCGTCTCCATTACTGTGGCCTTGGGGGACCTCGGTGTCCCTAAAGCCCTTTCGTGGACCTGTTCCTCCTCCTGCCTCCGTCTTCCCATTTCTGGCCTCTCCCCTACGCCCTCATTTCATGTCCTTGCACCTGCCACGCCAGACCCCAGCCAGGTATCCGCCACCACCTGCCTTCTTACCTGATTCCATGCAGCTCTGCTGGAGGAAACCGAAGCCACACTCTGGCCGGAGTCAGACTTCCCCCAGACCCTCATCACACTCCTGGCCTTCCTGCTTGCGTCTCTGGCCGGCCCTTTCTACAGCTGCCGCCTCAGAATTTGCCAGGACGGCCACAACCAGTCCTACCTCTTACATTCTTGCCGGGCACACTCTCTCTGCTTCCTAGCTACATGGGGATGGACCTTCAACACCCAACACTGGCCTTCCTTCTGTTCAATCCCACATGCTTCAGTAAGGCCCTGCTGTCCGTGCCGGCCAGGCACTTGGGTTCAAAGCTTAAGGCACTGCGGTTCCTACTCTCAGGAACCTGGAAGTGGTGAGAGGCAGTGGGGAGGCGTGGGTGGACGCTGTATGGGGTCTACACCCTGGCATGAGTCCCTGGAACCTGTGAGTGTCTCCTGCGAGGAGGGAAGCTCTCTGAGGGCTAGGGCTGTAGCTTGGCTGGGAGCCACAGTGACAGCTCAGGATTTGGCACAGGGAAGGGACTCAGTGACTCAGTAAACAGGGGGCCCACCAGCAGCACAGCCATAGCTCCCAGTAATGGCAGCCGTTAACAACCTGGTGGAACCCCCTGTCCATGGCAAAGGATCTGGGGGCTCAGAGAAGACCTGTAACTTTCCAGGCTGACACAGCTGGCCCTTGGCACAGCTTGAACAGAAGGCCAGTCTCTGACCCTCAGCATCGTGGCAGGACTCTGCCAAGGGCCTCGGAAGCTCTGGTGGCTAGTGAGGCCTCCCTGGCCACATCCCAACATTCCCTTCCCTGTCCTTTGTATGAGGAGGCACTGCCAAGGCCATGGTGGGGAAGAGGGAGGAAGACGGTAACAGTGGCTCTGCAACCAGCTGAAATACACCCCCTCTGCGGTCATCCAGTGGCCCCCAGTCAGTTTCTGACCTCTACGGTAAGATTAATAAGACCAGGCAGGCAGAATAAGCTGCCTGGTGGGAAGGAAGGGAAGTGGGTCCTCCAGGAGGAGGGGGCATCAGGGTTGACCCTGCTGAGCTCTGCTCCAGATTTGAATGTTCCAGGCAACCAGGAGACCAAAATAAGAGGCCTGCTCAACTTTTCCAGGACATTCTGGCCCGATGCTCATCCTTGCCCACCCACAGAGATTGCGGAAAATCTAGAGCCTCGGTCTCATTGCCCAGATGGTCACTCAAGGTCTCTGGAGCCTGACACCTCCTTCTGCCTGACCTGCACATTCCCCACACTGTCCCAGACCCACCACCCATGCCTCTCGCTCAGACAAAGGAGGGATGACAAGCCGGAAATTGGCCACCTCACAATCTGGGCTGCAGTCCCAGGCTCCAGTAGGCCCTATGTCCAGCCTGGGCAGGGGCCTGGTGACCATCCCAGCTCCATCCTCCAGCAGCAATTAGAAACGGTCTGCCCCTCCCCACTCCTTCTGCCCGGGATGGTAACCATGGTGAGTCACCAGCTGCCCAGGTGGGAGAAGATTGGTGGCCTTTTCTCTGCTTGGTGTCCTTGGGACTGCGCCAGATGCCCTTTCTGGCTTGCACTGGCCCTCCATGCAGCTCAGTCTGGCCGGGCACCCCAGGCCTGGGTCTGCCCTCAATCCACTGACCCTGTAGAGCCAGGCACAATGGGGCCTCACGGACCACTGTGGCAGATCACTAGTCCTCTGACCATGACAGCATGGCTGCCCAGGACTCCCAGGTCCCTGCTATGCCAACAGGCTTCTCTGAGACCACAGGACTCTTCCCTGGCCACCCAGCCACGGTTCAGTCAGTCATTTCGGTGCCCTCTGCCTGGGGGGGGTCAGGAGTAAATCCGTGTCCAGATTGTCCTAGGGGTGGCCCTAGGGTCCTCTCTCTCTACCACATTCCCTGCCTAGGCTCTCTGGCCAGGTCCCTGGACCTGCCCAGTTGTAGGAAGGGAAGAGGAGGGCTTTTCAGTCCCAGCCCTTGGTCCCCCCTCCGTCTCCCATCCTGACCCCCAGGGGCGCGTGCAGGTTCCAGGCATCCAACAGGGGGAACTAGCCCCCTTGTGCCGGGTGGGTGTCCATCTCAGTGCCCCAGCCCCACCCCTTCTCAGGCCGCCCGAGACGGGTCCGCCGCGCCTAGGGGTGCACAGTTCCCGGGGGCGCGGGGCGCGGTGGGGAAACTACCGAAAGTGCCGAGAGAAGCCCTGGTCCTTCCCCATCTGGAGCCGGCGACGGCGGCGTGGCAGGTGCCGACAGGTAGGGGTGGCGGAGCCCGCGAGGAGAGCGAGGGCGCCGCGACTCCACGAGCCTCTGCCGGGCAAGCGCACTCGGCCCCTCCCGAGCCGGCCAGGCCCGCTGCCCCGCGCCCGCCCCCTCGGGTGGCCCCGCCCCGCCCCGCCCCGCCCCCAAGGGGGATCCTGCTGCTTGCTGGGGTTGGGGGGACCGGGGTTTGGGAGGGGCGGTTCAGGGCTGTCAACGCTGCTTCCTCTTGGCTCCCTCCATCAGTCCCTCCCCAGGTGTCTCACTTGCAACCTCCCGAGGCCGGGGCTCCCAGGTCACCTGCACCGTGGCGGGTCCCCGGCCCCTGGCTGCTGCGAGGCTGAACCCCAAGGGTTCGGAAGAAGCACCGAATTTCTTTTGTAGAGCGTGGGAAGGCTTTCCGGAGGGCGTGGCCTTTGTGCTAGGTTTCAGGGAGTGGGTCAGGGAGGGGAAGCCCCCCTCCCCTACCCAGGGGGAAGCGCTAATCAGGAAGCCGGTGGAGGGAGGCCTTGAATGACATTGCCAGATGCTGAGACTAAACTTAGTGTGGGGGGGGGCGGTCCTAAGGATTTAAGGAGAGGAGGAGGGACCCCAGAGATTTTAGTGCACCAGGGGAGTGGGAGAGGCTGGGAGGTGAACAGGGAGGGTATGGGGTGGGATAGAAACACAGAGGAAGATGTATGAGATTTGGTGAGTGAGTGAGTGAGTGAGTGGAAATGAGGAGGGACAGCCAGGCTGGGGCAACTCCCAAATGTGTGTGTGGTGAGGGGACAGAGGGTCTCCTACTGGGAGAGAGCTAGGAGGAGAAGAGGGGGATGACAAGTAAAGGAGTCTGGACCCTTCCTCTGGCTCTGGGTCTGCTACTACTCGTAGAAGTCAGAGCGGGAGCAGACCGCAGGGAACCCACCGCCTTGTCATTTTCTCGCTGCTCCAGTCCCGCTTGTCTGCGGGAAAGGGCATATAGATACGGGGGAGCTAGCCCAGGACATCCTGAGCAGGGGGTCCTTTGGGAACATCAGCACCAGGCTCTCTCCTCTCCAGGTGTTGGCCGGGACCCAGACAGACAGGACCTGCAGAGGCAGAAAATCCTGGGACTCTCCCTCTGTCTCAGTCACTGGCAGAAAGGGACATATGACATGGTTCTGCCTCCAGGTTCCTGAAGTCAGTCAGACCACGCTGCCCAGCACACCTCAGCCCTGGTTCCTGGCCCCAGCGAGGCCACCAACCTCCCCTGATCATCCTGGGCTACTTTTGTCTCCAGCAGCAGCAGCAAGCCCAAGCCAGAACTCACCGCCGCATGCTCCCATGCTGAGTCCTCAGCCCCGCCAGGAAGAGAAATGCCTGAAAACCGCTACAGTGACTACAGCTCCCTGACATCCTCAGGGCCACAGACATCCCATCATGACCGAGCCATCTCCGGAAGTTGGGTTCTGGGTGCAATGGCCCGGCATCCAGAACCAGGCCAGCCCAAAGGTTATGAAGGCTGTCCACCTCGCTGGGGGCAGAGGAGGTGTGAGCAGGGAGGAAACGCTCATGGCTGAATCCGGACAGAGGCAGAAGTGCACACACTGCCTTGGGGCTCGGTGTCCTTGTCATCCCCTATCCCTGTCCCTGTCTGTCCACACCGTACCTGGACCCCTCGGTCCCAGCACCCCAACACGCAGGGAAGGCATCAGAAGGGGAGAGCAGCTTGTGCATCAGATAGCCCAAGACAACATGGGGGGGGGTAGGGTAGGGGTCAAGTGACAGCTGGAGTTTGCTCAAGTGCCCGCCCCTGCTAGAGGGGGCTACTAAAGGCCAGTCACTCTGGACCAGAAACTCTCAGTTAGGGATTTTGCCCCCTCCTCAGGGGACATTTGCATTATCTGGAGACAGTTTCGGTGGTCACAAAATGACAATTAAGATGGGGAATGTGCTACCAGGATCTAGTGCTGCTGAATATCCTAAAAGACACAGGGCAGCCCCCAACCACAGAGGGTTATTGGGCCCCAAATGTCAAAAGTGCCACAGCTGAGAGATGTGCTCTAGGAAGAAAGAGACCTTCCCTAGGGGAAGCCCCCATGAACTGAGAACATACCACATCCCGTCATTTCATAGATTTCTCCCGATCTCTTTGTATTACAGTGTCTCCGACACTGGTCCCCAAAGCAGAGGAGGATGGAGGGGGTACAGGTGTTCCCTCGCACGCTCCCCCCAGATTATCAGCTAATATCTTTTCTGCTTCCAGTTGGCAAGGTCCATTTCGGAGATTTCCTCCCAAGAACCCTGCTGGGAACACATAAGCATGACCAACCCCATCTTACAGATGGACTGTAGAGGTCAATGAACCTGCTCAAGGTTGCACAGTCCGTGAGTGGACCTGGGGGGTCCAAGGGAGGTCTGTGGGGATTCCACACCCCAGCTCCCTCCAGCACTGTCCCAGCGCTTCCTTCTCCCACCTGCCGGCCCCTCCCTCCCCTTCCAGGTTTCCTGAACCACCCCTTATTCCCCCTACAGACCACACAGCTACCTTTGCTTTCCTGCTCCCTCCTAACTACGTCACACTTCCCAAGCTGCCTGGACTGGCCTGTCCTAATTAGAAAGTCATTTTATCACTTCATCAAACTGGGATCCCTTCGGGGATAGACCCAAATTAAGCTCTGAGCTGCAGGGTAAAGTGCCGTCATGGGGAAAGATGAGACCCTTTGCTTCCATTATCACCACTGACCCAAATCTTATGCTCACGGCAGCACCATCCAGGAAAACCTTTTTGATGATGGGCATATTCTAAACGTGCACTGTCCTGCATGGTGGCCACGAGTCACACATGGCTAGCGAGACTGAGAAGCTGAATTTCCAATTTTATTTAGGATTCATCAAATTTAATTTTAAAAAAGCCACACGTGGCTACTATGCTTCATGGTCTCACTGCTCCTTCTCCTTTCTCCGCAAGCTTTCTGATTTGGCCACTGGGACCACCTCTCAGAGATCACACAGTGACTTGGGTGGATTCCAGCCTCTGCCAATCTCTCTCTCTCTCTCTCTCTCTCTCTCCCTCTCACACACACACACACACACACACACACACACACTGCTTCACCTACTGTTTGCGCTCACGGTGTAATGTAAACCCTGTCTCTCCTCAATGGGCCATTCTAAGACCACAACTGTCACTCTTTGTGGCCACCCATCCTAGGCAAGGTGGTTTACAGCCCAGTACTGTTGAGTACTCAGTGTTGGGTACTGAGTGGCCCCACTCTTATTGTGGCATCGTCCACTTCTGTGGCTAGATGTCTGGCCCTGATGAACTCTTCTTAGCGTCTGTCTTTCCACCCCCATAGGACACACTGCCAGACTCTAAGATTCATTGAGCCACAGCAGTGGCACCTGCTGCCTCCTCCAGGGAGCCCACCCTGATTGCCCCCCTGCTGAGTTGGCCCTGGGCAGCTGGCACTCAGGTCTCAGAATCACAGATGACTGTATCTGTGACTCCTCCCTGCCCCTTGAGAGCTCTCCAATAGAAGGTTCTGCATGGGGATCGCTATTGCAACCCTGGAACCCAGCATGTGGGCTGCCAGACCCTGGGGGTGGGGGTGGGGAGATGGAGTGGAAGGAAGTGGGGGTTGGGGTGGCTGAAGCCCCACTGCCAAGCTACCCCTCTCCCTGCAGAGCCCAGATGGGCACTGCCCCCTCCTCCAGCCTCCGCCCCACTTGTCCAGTCGTACTTGACATGCACTGACAATAGAGGTTGCTGTTTCATCCTCCCCAGCAGTGCCCCGGGGATGCTGCGGGGACCGAGCAGCCCGGGCAGCCCGAGGTGGCCAGGATTCCCGCTTCCTAGGCTCCAAATCCAGCACGCCAAAGGGGACGCCTCCCCCACCCTGGCTCTTCCTGACCCACTGCCGGTGGTCGCTTGGGGACAAACTGCAGAGAGGAAAGCAGGCGTGGCGAGGCAGACAGGCTATCCGGAGAAGCAGAGGCGACACAGACGGAAGCCAGGGCAGCTCCGAAGGGAGATGAGGAGGACGGAGAGGACCTCCAGCTGAGACTGGCTGCTAGCAGCCTTGCGACACGCACGTGCCAACTTCCCAGGGGACAGCCAGCTGCTGCCGGTATCCCTGGCCCAGCCCTGGTAGTGGGGGGCTGCCCATCCATCACCTCCCTAGGGAGCCCTCATCGCCAGTGCATCATCTCCACTGCAAATTAGGCTGGAGAAATAACTTTTTTTTTCTCTCTCTGGATTTTCCTAGCAAGGGGCAGGCCCCTAACTCACCCCAGGCAGCTCATGGTAGCCTCTTTCGGTGGCCTTCTGTGCTCGGCTGCAGAGCCGAGCTGCTGCGCCCGGGCTTTGGGGGGGTGGTGGCCAGCCCCATCCCTGACATTGGCCAGGCCCAGAGGGAGGGGCAGGCTGCAGGGTGAATGGCAGCAAGGGGAGGGGGCGGGCTGAGCCCAGGAAGTAGGGGGGTAGAAGTCGCAGGCCCTGGAGACAGGGTGAGAAGAGAAGGGCGCCCCCCCCTGCACCCCCCACAGGATCCCGACAGGGAAGGCATCACTCAGGCCCAGTGGGGGGCTCATCAAAGCTGCGCTGTGCCAGGCAGTGATGCCCCGGCAGGAAAGTGGGTGGGTGTGGAGGCTCCAGGTGTCAACCTACCAGGAATTTTTCTTCCTAAAGGATAAACTTACAGGGTCCAAGGCTGAGCAGAACAGAAAGTGCAGAGCTAATGGGTTCGCAGTCCTGTGCCAGCCACTCATTTGCTGTGTGACTTTTGGGCCAGCCTCTTAACCTCTCTGAGCCTGTTTGCCTCCGAGAAATGGGGATAATAATAGCACTGGGATGATTCAGCTGGAGAGGGTTCCCCTAGGCCCCTGGCGAGGTCCTGGGCACACAGCTGACATCATCAAAAGGCAGAGAGCACACACTGTGTCTAGCATGAGGATGTCCTTTCTGCAGGAGGTGGGTCCTGTCTGCAGCCCGTCCCAGCCCGGCATCCAGCAGCACTTCTGTTCTCACTCACAGCAATGCTCTAGGACTGGGTCGTCGTTGGACACCTCTGAGCGAGCCACACCCTGCCTGCCCCTTCCTCCCCACAACCGAGGTACCTGAGGTTGTCCAGGAGGGGTGTGCGGGCGTCGTGGGGCAGCTCCAGGGTCAGCGCCCACACCAGGTCATCCACCCGCTGCTCGGCTGCAAACTGCTTCAGGGCGGCAAACACTTGTTCCTTGGCAGTTGGCTGGTCCCCCAGGATCTCATCCACCTGCGAGGACAGGCCTGGTGAATGACCACCGGGACCAGAGCAGAACACTGCTCGCCTCCTTCCCTTGCTTCCTCGGTTTACCTCCATGGGACACCTGACATGGGAGCCCTGTCGGGGCTCTGTGGTGACCTGTCTACCCAAATCACACTTCCAGCCTCATAGCGGACAGACAAGGTGACATGGGTAGTATCTTCATGTACATCTAAGCACACAGAGGCTGGTGTAGGTGGAGTGACCTGCCCAAGGCCACGGGGTTGATGACTCAAACTTAGAGACTGCCCTTCTACCGAGTCTTATAAGGATCAAAGGAATCAATACAAGGGCTTTACCATGTGCCAGGCACTCAGTAATTGCTAGTCACTCTTATTATAACGCTATAGTTCTTTCCACCACACTGTTCGCTGAGAGATCCCACAGAGAACATTCTGGCTCCACATAGAAGCCCTGGAGTGTGTGCCTAGCCCTGAACTTGGACTCCCTCTGTGCTCCCTCGGGATTTCTGCTTTCTTCTGCTCTGTGCACACAACCAGCTGACACCAAAATGGGTACATCTAATCAGAGGAGCCCACGCAGCCGTTGGAAAGGGGCATGCAAATGGGCGCCATGTTTCTGGAGGCAAGCTTTGGTAAGCATGTCCAGGGTCTAAAAATGTACCCATCCTCTTACCCAATGATCTAGGAACATATCCTAGAGATGTCCTGAAAGACAGGGTGGTACACATCATTTGAGTAAAGAGGCTCACCTCTGCGTTGTTGTAATACGGAGACGTTGGAAGCAATACTGATATCTAATAATATGCAATAAATAATGTCAGCACATCTATCTGGGGGATATTTGCAGTCCTGGCTATTCAGCTAAGAGAGGAAGAAACCCCAGATTCTGAGGGAGGTGGGGCCCTGACAGCTAGTGTTGTAGCCTTGGGCATTTGGAGGCTCTGGTCCAGGGTTTTGGCTCTTGAAAAAATGATGCAGAGATGCGGGGACAGCAGAGCTTGCTGAGGGTGGTGGCCGAGCCCCGCAGTGCACCCGGAGCGGACTCTTCCTGACCGGGTAATGCAGGACAGATGGGACTCCTCGTTGCTGAACCTGTCCTAGTTCTAAGGCTGGATCTTCAGCGTGGATTCTGCAAACTGTTCCTCCCACAGATCCCTTTCCTGCCTAAGTGAGCAGAGTCAATGTTTGTTGTTTGAGAGCCAAGTTCATTTGACACACTGTAGTACCGGATATTGTTGATTCTGGGGTGAGCATTTTTTCATATTCTAACATCTCCAAAATCAGTATGTGTCCTCTGCTAGTTGTCGTTCCTGTGGGTGTATATGAATGTGATCGTAGTTGTTCATGTTGTTACTTACACTGACTTATGTGCGTTGCTGGTGCTGAAATGTTCATATAAGTCCAAAGTCCTCTTCTAATAACTGCTAAATTAAGTGACAAGTAGGTGATAAGGTAGCATGTGTTATGGGTTTATTGCCAGGGGCATTCCTCTTTTTGTGATTAAAAAAATGGGAAGTCTTGCAACTGACAGTTTTCAATTTTATGCAGTGCGGTACTTTACGGCCAGGAAGAACAATGTTATAGATATTTATTGAAAACCAGGAGGTGCTGAGGCGCCTGGGTGGTTCAGTCTGTGAAGTGTCTGCCTTCAGCTCAGGTCATGATCTCAAGGTCCTGGGATGGAGCCCTGCGCTGGGCTCCACGCTCAGTGAGGAGTCTGCTCAAGAATTCTCTCCCTTTGCTCTGCCCCCTGCCCTGCTCACACTCTCTATCTAAAATAAATAAATCTTAAATAAAAAGTGAAACCGTGAAACGGAGAGTGATGGCTAAGGGTGTGGGGATACTTTTTGGTGTGAGTAGCGTGTTCTGAAATTGATCATGGTGATGGTTCCACAAATCTGTGGATTCACCCAAAACCACTGGATTGTACACTTTAAGTGAGTAGATGGTATGATACGTGAATCTATCTCAATAAAGCTGTTATAAAGTATTTATTTGTCAGAGAGATAGAGAGAGTACAGGCAGGCAGAGTGGCAGGCAGAGGCAGAGGGAGAAGCAGGCTCCCTGCGGAGCAAGGAGCCCGATGTGGGACTTGATCCCAGGATGCTGGGATCATGACCTGAGCTGAGCCACCCAGGCATCCCTAAAGCTGTTATAAAGTATGGAAAAATTGTGATAAACAGGTGAGAAAAATGGTTTACAAATGAAATACACGGTGTTATATTTTTAGACACATATGATTACATATGTGTCTATGAATTGGAAATATGTACTAAGTTTTACAGTAATTTGGTTTTTTAAAAACAAGTCAGTGGCTTCCATCTTTTCGATAGTGAGCTTATAGGACTTATATAGGCAGGAAAAGGAAGGCATGTTATCACTGTTCCTTTTTTTCCCTTAATTTTTTTAATTTATTTATTTTTAAAGATTTTATTTATTTATTTGACAGAGAGATCACAAGCAGGCAGAGAGGCAGGCAGAGAGAGAGGAGGAAGCAGGCTCCCTGCTGAGCAGAGAGCCCGATGCAGGGCTCGATCCCAGGACTCTGAGATCATGACCTGAGCCGAAGGCAGCGGCTTAACCCACTGAGCCACCCAGGCGCCCCAGTTTCCCTTTATTTTTTACTGTTGTAAAAATGCACATAACAGATAACTACCGTTGTAACATTTTAACGTGTACAATGGCATTAAGTTACATTCCACGGCATGCTGTAATCATCACCACCATCCAGCTCCAGAATATTTTCATACTCTCCCAAATGAAAGCTCTATACCCATGAAGTAATCACTCCCTACCCACCTCCCCCATTCCTGCTTCCCCAGCCCCTGGCAACCACTAATCTGTTTTCTGTCTCCATGGATTTGCTAATACTGGATACTTCTGTGAATGGAATCATACGATATGCGGCTCTGGGGTCTGAAATGGTTACATTTTGTTTAAGCAGTAGTTAAGCATCGTCTGTCTGGTCTGTCCGTACTCCACGAGAGCCTTCCCTTGATAGTCAGTGGTCTGCGGTGTGTCTGGACACCGATGCCCTGAGCTGACCCGGAAGCAGAGGTGGGGGGCTGGGCGGTGGAGTGTGTGGGTTTGCTGTGCCTCTCTGGGGGGAGGGTGGGCGCAACCTCTGCCAGAGCTAGGGCTGTTCAGCATCAGCTTCATCCCCTTCCACCCACCCCCAACGTCCGCACACAGCACCCTTCCCCACCACCCTCCACTGGCAGAGGATGAAGACCTCCCCCCTTCCTGGCCAAGGTCAACCCTCCAGTCCACAGACACCCCACTGCCCCACCCGTCCCTGCTTTCTCTTCCTCCACCTACTTATCACTTGGCTCTCAGCTCAAAGTCACCTCCTCAGGAGGCTTCCTGACCACCCTGGCCAAGCGGCCCCCATCTCTCTCTCTCATCTCCCTGTTTATTTCTCCACATCCTTGATCATGAGCCCTAGATAGCTTGTTTATACATTTGTCCACTTCCTCGCTGGCTTCTTCCCCACAGGGACACCCGCTGCGGGGGAGCAGGTCCCCGGCTTGTCGTCATCACAGCCGTCTCCCAGGGCCCTGAGACATCGCAGGTCCGCCATCAGTAATGGCGAAATACATCTATTTCAACGTCTCTACTGCCTCCTTCCCTTCAGCTTACATAAATGTCCAAGTGTCTCCCTACCTATAAATACGTGAATACATAAAGTCCTTCTTATCCTGCAACCCGAGCGTCCTGTTCATTTTCCTGGCCCAGAGGGGTCTCCACTTGCTGTTTCTATAGGACTGCCCTGATCCATTGCAGGGCGCCCCCTACTGGCGGCACTCAGTGGCCATTCTCTGGGCAAGGACCCCAGATGGTGACTTCTGGACCTTGATCCTCTGCCCACAGCATGCTCCAGAGTTTCCGATCTACATGGCCAACTCCTCCCTACACACTTGCACAAGGGGACTGAGGCCGGATTTCCAGAGGTGGTGAAAGACGCAAGGGGTTTTGGGGGCCTCATGCCTGAGTCCTAGCATGCGCACCCCACAAAGCCTGTGTTGCTGTTTCCACCTGACATGACCTGACGGGACGACCTGAGACCCAGACCCGAGGTCTTGCTCCCGCCCCGCCCCAAGCACAGGGCTTGGCCCATAGTAGGTCCTCAGTGAATGTTTATGGAGCTCAACCCAAGAGCCACAGAGGGCCGGCTGTCCTCTCACTGCATTTCCTTCAGCTCCCTGCCGGCCTCGGTTTCCCTGGCGGTGAGGAGGGCAGGCCACAGCACCAGCACCCCCTCCTCGTGCACCCACTGTGCTGAGGAAGGTTAGTGGTTTTGCAGTCAAAGTCAGCGGCAGCCTCAATTCAAAGGAGAACATGGCTGGCTGGAAAGACGTTTTATGTAAGAAGGAGGAAAAAATAGTTCCTCCCCCATGGGGCCTGTGCCACAGCACGGATTTGGTGTCAGCTCTTACCCAAATGCTCTCAACCTACATCTAGGCGCGAGGCGCCATCACGGGACGCTAATGGATTTTCTATTAACTATCAGAATCCTCAAGGAGGAAAAACTGGGGCAGGGAGAGTGCCGGTGAGAACCCGGGAGCTCACTGTCAGAAAGCCCTTGCTTGTCCGGAGGCAGTGTCTGCTGGGGATTTGCTCCCAGTTTTTGGAGGTGAGCTTAGTGAGCTCGAACCAGAACCCACCACTCCCACTCCCCCTAGCCAGCACACACACCTTGGCTGGCCTGGACAGCCAGTCACCCCCCGGCCCTGCCTTGTGGCCAGTTCTGCGGTCCACCTTGCCCTTCTGGTGGCTCTGACCGTGCCCCCGTCCAACTCTCTGGGGGTCGGATGGAGTCTGGGACAGGGCTTGGGTTCTGCAGCAGGTCATCTGGAATTATAGACTTTACTAGTTGCTGCGGTCTGAATGGTGGTACCCCACCCCCTCCATTCCTACGTTGCAAACCTGCTGTCCAAGTTGATGGTGTTAGGAGGTGGGGCCTTTGGGAGGGGATGAGGCCATGAGGGAGGGGTCCTTGTGAACGGGGTCAGTGCCCTGATGGAAGAAAGCCCAGAGAGCTCCCAGCTCCTTCCGTCCCGTGAGGACACAGGAGGTCTGCTACCCAGAAGAGAGCCCTCTCTCCACCATGTTGGCACCCTGATCTTGGGTGTCCAGCTTCCAGAGCTGTGGGAAATACATTCCTAGGGTTTCTAAGCCACCCAGTTTGGTATCCTGTTACAGCAGCTGGGAAGGACTGAGCCACTCATGCTCTACAGTATTGCTAGCTCCCCTCTGCTCCCTGGGCGCACAGAAGACGGCATTTCCCGACATCCTTTGGGAGCAGAAGGGTGCCTAGTTCTGGCCAAGGAGCACCAGCTATAGGTGCAGCACTTCGCTCCCTCTCTGAAGTCCTTTAGAGCCGATGTGCATGTTTCTGCATGCTCTTCCTCCCCTACAGAAACTCCTGAAGCTGCACATTGAGATGGGGGTGCCTGGCACGTTGAGGCCTCGTGCAGAGGTCAGCCAGCCTGGAGAGTGCCTGCACTTTTAGAGGACTTCGTGCAGATGGGGAATAAACCTGTGGGGTATGCAAAGGCACCAAGATGTGTTTGATGTTTGTTATAACAGCAGAGCCTGCTCTGGGGATAGAAAGAAAGCCGCATCTTCGGGGAGCTGGACGGTTGTGACCTAGGGAGTCCAGAGCTGGGTCGTGTGTGCATGTGTGAGCGACTTCATACACTTGGCTACAGAGGCTGGCCTGTTCTGGGGCCATGGGCTAAAAGGTTCAAGCTGGGGTCCTACCCAAACAAGGGGTCATGCCAGGGTATGTGGGGGAGGTGCAGTTCCTGAGGGGGTTCAGTTTAGAAGAGGGGAGGAGTGGACCAAGCTTGGGCACTGGAGAAGGCCAGGTGAATGGAGATCTGATACCTGGGCAGTGGGCTGGGGGTCAGTTCTCTAAGAGCAGGGCTCCCCATCTGCCCCCCAAAACTTCATGGTCATGCTCTGTCAAGAGGATGAATGAGCAGTGCCCTTTCCAAGGAGGATGAGGGAGGGTGTCTGTGAACTCAAGTGTCCCAGTCATCGAACTGAGTTTTTCTAAGATGTTGGGCTGGACTCCCCACATCTAAAGGCCCTGGAGAACAGTACATGAGGGCGGAGGGCCTGAGGAAGCTGCTGCGGTGACACCTTTCAGGGGTCCCCAGTAGGTAGGACCATACTGGTCAACCTCCTCCCTGACTGTGTTACATCCAGGTTTCTTGGATTTCCCTGGATTTGTCCAGAAAAGGGCCAGGTTTCTGCAAATCAGGCAATGCTCAGGATTCTGGCCTGAGGACAACTTCATCCTCAGATGTTATTTTCCAGCTCTGGGTCTCTACCTCTCCTGATGGCCACCCCTTGCTTCCTGAAGGTGACCCAGATCTTGGACTCCTCTTGTGGCTAAGGATGTTGGCCATTCCAGGATCTGACTCTTAGTCCTCAGGGAAGCCCTTCTTTCCACCTTCCAGGAAATGCCTCTGGAAGGTTGGGAGACTTGAACCAGGGCCTCCCGTTGCCAACCAGCCAGCCAGCAAGACTACTGTGCAAGGCAGGGCCAGATCCCCGTTTTGTGGGGGCTTGAAACAAGTGTGGCTCTTTTGGAAAACAAACAAACAAACAAACAAACAAAAAACCACACACTATGGTGCTATTGTCTGAATGTTTGTGTTCCTCCCAAATTCATATCTTAAAATCCTAAGTCCCAACAATGATGGTATTAGGAGGTGGGGCCTCTGGGAGGTACTTAGGTCATAAGGGTAGAGCCCTTATGAATGGGATTACTGCCCTTATAAAAGAGACCCCAGGGGCACCTGGGTGGCTCAGTGGGTTAAGCCTCTGCCTTCTGCTCAGGTCATGATCCCAGGGTCCTGGGATCAAGCCCCACATTGGGCTCTCTGCTCAGCGGGGAGCCTGCTTCTTCCTCTCTGTCTGCCTGCCTCTCTGCCTATTTGTGATCTCTCTCTCTCTCTGTCAAGTAGATAAATTAAAAAGAGAGAGAGAGAGAGAGAGAGAGAGAGAGAGAGAGGATGACCCCAGGGAGCTTCCTTGCTCCTTCCACCATGTGAGGACACAGTGAGAAGCCACCAGCTATGGACCAGAAAGTGGCTCTCCCCAGACACTGAATCCGCCGGCACTGAGATCCTGGACTTCTGGCCTCCGGAAATGTGAGAAATACACTGAAATAAATTCCTGTTGCTTCTAAGCCTCCCGGTCTCTGGTATGTTGTTACAGCAGCTGCAACAGACTAAGACACTCTGTTCGTAATACAGGCAATAAGAGGAATGGCCCATGGCCACACACCGTGGATGAAAGTCACAGCAAAATGTTGAGTACAAGAAGCTCAACACCAGAGAGAACGCGCAGTGTATCCAGTAATAGAAAGTTCACGAATGGGCAAAAGTCAACTATAAGGACGCAAGTCAAAATAGCAACTACTTCTTGTTGGGGTGGACAGAGAAAGGAGCATGCGGGAACTTTCTGGGGTGAAGGAATCATTCTATTTTCTACGCTCTATCATTATCTATATTCTGTCGATCTGCATTTTGATCTGGGGGTGATCACGAGGGTGAGTTCATCTGTAAAACCCAGTGAGCTGTCCACTTAATGTACTTTCCTGTACACCTGTGTACCTCAGTAAAAGAGAAGAGCCACCCCCACAAAACCACCACACAGAACCACAAAATTAGGTACAGGGCCTTGAAGCTCGCACGTGGTTATATTTCTGGTAAATATGTCCCTAGAAGTATCCTCAGCTCCAAGCCTGCTTCAGGCCCCGGAAGGGCCTACCCGCCACTGCAGGGGGAACCCAGCCAACCGCGTTCCCCAGGGTCCCCCCTCGCCCGGAGTCCTACCTTGCGGCTGAACTCCTGGGCCTTGCGCCTGCGCTCCCGGTGCACCGCCTCCGGGCGCCTCCGGCGGGCTAGGCGCAGCAGCTCGCGGCCCAGGGAGAGGCCTCGGCCGGGGCGCGGGGGCCGCAGGGCTGGGGTCGGGGACGCATGGCCAGATCCGGCGCCTGGGTCCCCCTCGGGCCCGGGGAGCACGCCGAGGCTGGGCGGCACTCGCGGGCAGCGCCGGGCCAGGCGCACAAGGCGCTCACGGCTCAGGCCACCCACGGCCAGCCCCTCCACCTCCAGGATCTGGTCCCCGGGCCGCAGACCCCCGGCGTGTGCGCTGCTCCCTTCTGTCACCTCCAGGACGAAGCAGGGGCCCGAGCCGCCCAGCCGGAAGCCGAAGTCTTCGGGCCAGCCCTGGTTGGTGGCCGGCATGGCGGCGCTGGAGGTACGGCTGGAGAGGGAGAGAGACCCAAGGGCAGATTCACGACCTGCCGCAGGCTGCTTAGAGACCCAGGAGATGGGCCAGGCTGGGTCAATGCTTCTCTCTGCCTCTGAGTGGAGGATTAGTTCTTAAGATAATGTCTCAGCTCCCGCATCCAGCTGTGCCTGAAATTCACCAACTTCCACCTGACAAAACGACCTCCCAGTGACAGGAGCTCACAAATTCCCACTAACTTTGGCAAATATTTGCCTTTTGAATTGTATGACTCTCCTTTTTGACTTCCTTGGGGGAAGCATGGTAGGGCTGACTTGGAGGTCTCTGGGCTTCTGGGTCTAGGGGAGGGGGTGCCTCTGGCTTCCAAAAGAGGCCAGAGTGTGTGGGTTGGTGAGGTGGGCCCAAGACAAACGTGAACATTAATAACGGGAGACCTCACTAAAACAGAGTCAGGAGGCCAGAAGGGGGAGCCATACCACTCCTCAATTATAGGAAGGATTCTCTGTTACAAAGCCCAACAGAAGAATGATGAGACAGAAACGAATCTTCGATTTCAAGGCCAACAGGAAAAGACATGCATTGTCTCTCCTACAGAAAAGGAGCATCCCTGCAACTCAGCCAATGAGCAACAGTGATCACTGCCATCTCTTGCTTCTCTCCAGTGGACTTCTGTTCAAGATCACCCCTCCCAGCTTCCTTGTTCTTCTCTGTGAAGTTCCTCTCCTTTGTTTGTTCAACTCGCCTATGGTTTTTGCCATAGCTTGCTTGTCCTGGATTGCTACTCCCTGCCATTCCTGAGTTAATTCATTTTTGCAGGGAAAATAACTTTTATTTTTGAGGTTAACAAACACAGCCCAGGGAGTCTAGGGTAACTGTCCTAGATGGAACAATCTATGTGTGTTTCTGTAGGTCTGTTTAGAGCAGGGGATGCCCACAGCCCACCGACAGCCTCTGAAATTGTAGGCAGTATGGGTGTGAAGGCTCTGTTTTCTGAGCTCCCCCTCCCAAGACACCTGGACCTCTCTTAGCGGCTGGGAAGTTAGGGTGAGGAGGAGACCTGGGGTTCCAGCAGCATCGTCAACTAGGAACAAGTGGTCTTAAGGGACAACCAGGGAGAATCGGTATCACCTGACCACCAGAGGACAGTGTGGGCACTGTCACCTGGGTGTGGTGGAGGGAGGCTGGCTGGCTGACTCCCGAGCCCATCCCAGGGGACCTGGTCCTCCTCCGCCAGGTGGCCATGCTGCCAAGGGGCCTCAGGGACACTTACTCTTTCGCTTGGTGGCTTCGCTGGAGTCCTGGGTGCACTGGGCCCAGATGGGGTGGGGGCATGACCACATGTTAGAGGCCCTAAGGTCAATTCTTGTACCATGTAGTTAGCTCCCCCACAATCCAAGAGGGGCTGGTTGGCAATTCTGAATTTGGGGCTGGGGCCCATGTTTCCCCTCCATGGGCACAGCTGTGGCAAGGCTGCCTCTCAGAGGCCAGAGCAGCCAATGCCCAGCACCTCTACCAACCTGCGGTGCCCACACGGCCAAAGGGGCTGCCAGCACTTGGACCCCACTGGACTTCCACACCATGGCAGGCCCTCCTGTGTGTCCCCAGCCCTGCAAAGTGACCCAAACCCTCTCCCACCCACCCCGAACTCCTGGTGTGGGCCACTCTCTGCTCTCTCACCTTCACCTGGAAACAGGAATCCAGGCTCCTGGCGGGGCTGATGGACTCCTTCAGGGACCGCGAGGGAGGCATCCCAGGGCCGCCCATCCCAGAATACTGCGGCCGACCCCCGCGCTCCCAGGTTTGCTCACCTTCCTCCCTGGCGATTTTGGTGGTTGCAGGGACAGAGCACAGGGCTTGTGGAATGCCTGGGGACACTAGCTTGTTGCTAGCCCTCTGCTGCTCAGGGCCTTAGCGTCAGTTACTGACGCGCCCGAGGTGACAGCTGGAGTTTCTAAGGCAAAGTGATCCTGCGAGTAACCTGAGAAGGCCCCAGTTACCAGGCAGACCAGCAGGATGGCTGGACAGCTTGGCCAGGGCCCAGAGTGGCCGGCGCCTGCTGCGTGGTCCTGGGGGGCGAGCAACGATGCTCAGACAGGAGTGAAGGCTGGCTGGGGCTGGGTCACGGGCTGGGTCCACCCGTGAGGTCATGGAGCTTGGCAGGTGGGCCGAGAGGGTTCATCCAGGCTGTTTTGAGGTGAGGGGGTGTCCCTCAGTCCAGCAATGGCAGAGGGGACTGTGGAGACTCAGTGGGGCATAGGGACCCAGTCTCCACGGAGAATATTACTGCAGGAGCCCCGACGGTCAGATTTATCATCAGAAGAAGGGGAGATCCAGCCCAGGAACAAAGATTTGGATAGGCAAAAAGATGCTCACCTAAGTACCTTTGGAAGTGAGTGCTGTCTGGAACTAAAGGCGCGTGAAACCGCACACGACACTGTCCTCTAGCAGGAGAAGCTGCTTCCCACGGGGGTACAGGTTAACGATTCTGAAATCACACACATGCATACTGGGATTGAACAATTAAGTAAATGGTCTGTGGGGGTCAGCTTTCTCTCTGGCCGAGTAGGAAGTTACAGACAAGCAAAGGGGGAAGCTAGAATCATCCGTGTGGTACTGGATTAGACTTGGGAACGTCAGAATGAGCTCCTGGTTAGCTCACTATAGCTGCAGATGGACACACAGAATTATTTCTAGATCTGTGTATATACATAGGTTAGTCTACGAACATACGTCTGCTTAGCCTGTCAGCAAGAAGGCGTGGAAGCCAGGTACCCTGGTGGCAATGAACACATCTAGTGCCAGATCTTGGCTTCTAATATCATTCTCCAAAAATGGGATCCCGGGATCCTTAGAGAAAGGACTGATTCTAGGGCTGGAGCAAGAAGCACACAAGCTGAGCCTAGAGCATCTTCTAGGGCCAGAGAGTACACAAGTGCTAAACACACACACACACACACACACACTCTCTCTCTCTCTCTCTCTCTCTCGCATGCATGCACCCACGTACAACGGTGCTTGTCAAAGGGACACAGGAGCAAATTGAGAGAGATTTCATTGGCCAAAGGTGGGACAATTTGAGCAAAAAATAAGTAACGTTATACTGGATTATAACCCAAGGTATAAAATAAATATCCATGAGTCTATTCTGAGTAAACTAGTGGTTGAATAAATAGGGAAGAAGAGACATATGTCCCATGCAGAAGAATTCCACATAATTTATAACTTTCCCCCCTTTAAGTGTGGGCTGCACATAGTAACATCCTTCCAACGAGGACAGCACAAAGGGGCGGAGGTCACAGTACTTTACGCTGGAGAAACTGACAAACAGGACCTCACACAGGTGATCAAGGTTAACGGCAACGGGGAGAAATCAGGTTGATGGCACATGCCCTTTATCTGCTGTGATGAGAACTGCACTTGCTTTTGTGAATTTCCTCTCGTAAGCCCATAATCAGCCTGACTATGAGGAGGGAAAACCTCAGACAGATTTAAATGGAGTGACATTCTAAGAATACGGGGTTTGTCAAAGGGACACAGGACCCAGCTGAAAGGGCTCCCGGGGGCCAGTGCTGGAACAATTTGAGCAACAAAGTCAATAACAGAGTGTTGGATTATAACCCAAACAAAATGAATATCCACTGATCCATACTGATAGAGACAAAACAGCCTTGACTCTTCAAAATGGCCCAGGTCATCAAAAACAAGGAAACTCTGAGAGACTGTCACAAACTGGAGGGGCCTAAGGAGACCTGATGACTAGCTGTCATGTGGGATCTTGGGGCAGAGAAGGGACATTAGGTAAAAACTGAGAAATCAGAACTAATGACAATGGATCAACATTAGTTCATTAGTTGTGACAAATGCACCATAGTAACGTCAGACGCCAGCAACAGGGGACATCGGGTGTGGGGCAACAGAGAGCTACTCTCCCAGCTTTTCTGCACATGCAACACTATTCTAAAATTAAATTTTTATTATTAAATCCCAGGATGTGGAGCTAGGGATCAGATGGATGGGACAATACTTTTTTTTTTTTTTTTTTTGAGAGAGAAAGAGAGTGGGGGTGGGGAAGAGGGAGAGGGAGAGAGAGAATCTTAAGTAGGCTCCATGCCCAGCACAGAGCTCAACTGGGGCTTGAACTCGAGACCCTGAGATCAGGACCTGAGCCAAGATCAAGAGTCAAATGCTTAACTGGCGGAGCCACCCGGGCGCCCCTGGGCGATACTCTTAGTAGGTCATGACGATTGAGCTGGATGTTTTCCAGAGTTTGCTTACCCAAATGTGCTCCAGGTTACTATGTGTGTATGTGTGTGAGAGAGAGATGTCTGTTTATATACTCTAGTCTGATTTACATTATAAACTCCACTAGGGAGACTACAGTATATCCTCTTTGGGGAAAAAAAATAAACAAACCAAAACTGTGAGTGAACCAGTGTCCCTAGAGCATGGTCCAAAACTGATAGAACAGCTTAACTGACTGAGCCATCCGGGCACTCCTCTTTTGTTTTCTTCCTTTACAAACTGATGTTTCTCTAGATGGTAAAAAATGGCGTCACCTGACCCTGCTGATGGGAGTGTAAAATGGTAAGATCGTTATGGAGTACTGCTTGATGGTCTGGTTGGCTTAGTTGGTAGAGCACTTGGCTCTTAGTCTCAGGGTCGTGAGTTCAAGCCTCACGTTGGGCATGGAGCCTACTTAAAAAAAAAAAAAAGCTAAATGTACACTTATCATGTAACCCACCCATCCTAGGGATTTATGTCCCCCAGAGAAATGACAGTGTAAGTCCATGTACAGACTTGAACACGAATGTGTATAGCAGCACTATTCACAATATCCCCACACTGGAAACAGCTTATATACTGATCTATGGGCAAATGGACTGGGGTATATCTCTGCAATGGAATGCTACCCTATAATATCGAGAAATGAATTACTGATACACATAACATAAGTAAGCCTGAAAAATGTTATGTTAAGTGAAAGAAGCTGGTAACA